ATCGTCTATCTATCTATCTATCTATCTATCTATCTATCATCTATCTATTTATCTCTATCGTCTATCTATCTATCTATCTTTCTATCTATCTATCTATCTATCTATCTAATGTCTGCTTTTTTTTTAATCCAAAAGCTGATTATATTATATTAACTAGAGAGGTGTGTACCCTGCTTTTTTCTTTTCTTAACCTTTCCCCGTGTGATGAAAATAGTCTCCAAGAAAACATGGCTTTAAAGCCCGCCTAGTGTTCTGTGGAAGTAACCAAGCCCCTTTGTCAGACACACGTTGTTCTTTATGCGTAAAGGCTCCTGGAGGGTCACCGGTTGGACAGCCCGGTGCTGTCATTGCTGTGGGTTGGCAGGTGGGCCCTCGCTGACTAACCTCTGCCACGTTAACACGTGGTTTTTGGATCCGTAGCACCCCGAGCAGAAGGCAGACCGGTATTTTGTGTTATACAAACCGCCCCCTAAAGACAACATTCCCGCCCTAGTGGAGGAGTACCTGGAACGCGCCACCTTCGTAGCCAATGACCTCGACTGGCTCCTGGCCTTGCCTCACGATAAATTCTGGTGCCAGGTAACATTCTATCAAAATTAACGCTAAGACAAAGCACTTGCCATGCTGTTTGGTTGGTTTCTGTTGTCGTTTCTCTCCTGCTAGGAGAGGCTTTTTTCTCTACTTTTTTCGCTGGATCCTTAACAGGCAATTGTGGTTTGGATGGCTCTGTCTTGTATCACAATCTTAATGATGTTTATACAGCACCTTCCAACGTGTCATTTTTAGAAACTGTGTGTAGCCCTCGCTCATTCATACCTTCTTAGTCCCTTGGGGTTGGAGTGTTGGCCACGGCCGCAAGCCCCGCTCGGTCCACCCACAAGCCCTGGGGTGTCGGTGACAATCCTGGCTCTCCTCTGTTGCCCGGCTCAGGTCATCTTCGACGAGACCCTGCAGAAGTGCCTGGACTCCTACCTGCACCATGTTCCCCGGAAGTTCGACGAGTGGGTGGCCCCGGCCCCCGAGGTTGCTGACATGCAGAAGCGTCTCCACCGCAGTGTTTTTCTCACCTTCCTCCGCATGTCCACTCACAAGGAATCCAAAGTAAGCCCCTGGTCCCGTGACAGGCCGCCCCCAACACCCAACACCCCTGTGCGTTCTCTCCGTCCTGGGAAGGAAGGCTCTGGAAGTATCGCATTTCCTCTTTGTCTCCGCTCTGCCTTTATTCCCGCTGTTGGGGAAGAAATCTGTGCCACCGCCCTGATCCCCTGGCTCCCCGGGTCCGTCTGCATTACACCCAGTGTTTTCTTCAATGGGAGCCCAGGGCCCTTTGCCAGTTGACGCGTGACTGCCTTTTCTTGTGCGTCAGAGGGTGAAAATACTGATTCTCATTTTTGAAAGGATCTTGTATGTGCTGTTTAAAAACCTTTACTCCTCCCACCCCCCAATTTTACAAATAATAATGCTGCTGCCCTGGCTGGTTGGTTGGAGCATCATTCTGTACCCCAAAAGGTGGTGGATGCGATCCCTGGTCAGGGCACATACCCAGGTTGTGGGTTCAATCCCCAGTTGGGGTGCATGCGGGAGGCAGCTGATCGGTGTTTCTCTCTCACATCAATGTTTCTCTCTCCCTTCCTCTCTCTAAAACCAATAAATAATAATAATACTGTCTCTAAACAACCCAAACATTACAGAAATATTTTGTCAATAGTGAAGGTTACCTACAAAATCCTCTCCCCCCAATAACTACTGTCAAGATGCCTGTTTCTTTAGGGAATTTTTTTCCCCCTTTCAGTAGCGGGATGTGTGTGTGTGTGTGTGTGTGTGTGTGTGTATTTATTTTAAAAATAGGATCTTGTGGGGTCTTTAAAACTTCTTTAGTATGGAAATTTTCAAAAATCACAAAATGATGAACCCCATGTACCCGTCACCCAACTTAAACAATTATCCACATTTTGCCAATCTCATTTTCTCTCTCCTCCAGAGATTTTTTTCTTTCTGGAGTATTTGAAAGTGATCCCAGACATCCTGGTAATTCACCCATAACTGTTTTAGAATGAACCCCCAACCAACTATTGCACCATGTACTTCTGCTTCTTTTTACATGAAATGGCTGTTGCCCCAGGTCAATGTAGGAGTGTCAGACGTGTCCACAGTGTGGATGGAGCTTCATTTGCTACCCAGTCCCCTGTGGTGGGCCTGCAGGCTGTTTCTCCTGCGTTTGCTCTTACTTTACAATGCGTCTGCATTCAGACAGTCTCTCACCCTCTCTCTGCCCGGCTCCTAGGATCACTTCATTTCCCCCTCTGCATTCGGAGAAATCCTCTACAATAACTTCCTGTTCGACATCCCAAAGATCCTGGACCTCTGCGTGCTCTTTGGAAAAGGCAACTCGCCGCTGCTCAAGAAGATGATAGGTGTGTGGGGTGTGGGGCTGGGGGGGTGCATGGAGTTGGCCCCATAAATCAAACCAGAGGTTCCAGGGGTGGCACCTAGAGGAGTACGGGGGCATTCGGAGCAGCAGTGGTGGGTGGTGCTTGGAAATGGCTTCGGTGTATGTGTGTCCATCCTGAAATAAGTGGCTGGTGGCGCTGGGGGAGTGGAGACAGAAAGCTGTCCCACACGGCTCCTCGGGGCTCTTTGAGTCTTCGTGTGAGGCTGTGAGTTGAACAGTGGAAGGAGTGGGGACGCTGGAACCAGAAGAGCAGCAGTGACAGTACCAGTGTACCTGCGTGTTCACTGGGGGCTGAGCACTCCTCGTGTTATGTCAGTTGATCCTCACCAGCCCTGTGATGTAGGGCTGTCACCTCCCCATTCACAGACAAGGACACTGAGCTCCAAGTGTAAGAGGCCGTGACTAACAAGCGGCCGAGCTGGGGTTGATGTCACGTCGGCCTGACTCCCTAGCTCTTGTTCTTCGCCACTCCCTGCCTCAGGGCTGCTGGGGCCGCCTCAGAGCTGACAGGATTTGCATTGTTGCTGAGAACAGACGGGGCAGAGTTCAGAGCGGACTCTCTGGGTTGTGAAAGGAATGACGTCCGCAGTTGGATCCCGTCCGGAGGCAGTGGGCTGGAAGGCTCCATCCGAGACAGGAGCTTTGTCGGGATGCGACAGAGGGAACAATGCCCTTTGAATCGCAGCTCATGGCAGCGGGCCCTGCGTGGAGAGGTGCTCACCCCGGGCACCCCTGTCCGTCTTGCTCACCTTGAAATTGTAGGACACTGTCTTCCAAACACCCAGTACTTTCTCCCCACCCTGGGCTTCTGAACGGTTTCGGCTGAGGAACAACATTCCTAAGGATGCCATTGCTGTTCCATTTTTTAAAAATTAATTAATTATTTTTAAAATCCTCACCCGAGGATATGTCCTTCATTGATTCTAGAGAGGAGGAAGGGAGAGGGAGAGAGAAACATCGATCTGTTGCCTCCCATGTCCTAACGGGGGGTCAAACCCAAGACCTGGGTATGCCCCCTGACCGGTAAGCAGTAAGAGATTTACATGATTTACCTCTGCCCTTTGGTGCATGGGATGATGCTCCAACCAACTGAGCCACGCGTGCCAGGGTGCTACCCCAGGCCTTTTAAATTATTCCTTTAAGAGATCCAAGTTCTTCGCCATCGTCAGAATCAGATAAAGGAGAGGAAGGGGACTTCAGAGTCCCCAAGGGCAGATTGTGAAATATGATCTCTTTTGACACTTATAAAAACCCCTGTTACCCGGCTTAAGCGTTGGAAAGATCTGAGAGAGTGCCTTCCCCCAGGCCGGGTCGTTCGGGTTCGGAGGGGACCATGGTGTGGCCCTGAGAATGATGGGAGGAGACCGGCTCCTGATGCCTGGGTCAGGAGATACTGCCTGGAGAAGGGGACACCTGCCTTATGGGAGGTCTCTTCCTAGAGAAGTCGGGGACAGGGCTTGCTCTCTGAGGTTGAGGACGGTGCAGAGGAGGAGATGTGGTGCCAGGAATGGGGAGGGCGTCAGGTCCCTTGCAGGCCTCTCTCCTTGGAGTGGGATCGCTTGGCATGGCTAGCATATTCAAAAGCAGAGGGTGAGAGAATTTCCAAAGAAATGTCTCCTTAGATTCCTTCACATTATTGAAGACGTGGCCTGGCGAGAATCCTGGATTTGGCATCCAGATTTCTTGAGCAGAGAGATGGCTGACTCCCACTTCCAGAGCCGATGCTGTCACGTCAGGCACAGTGCCCAAGTGTGATCCCTCCCTGGGGGTGTCAGCGAGCTGGTCTGACCAGGGAAGGCCTTTTACGTAACTCGCTGGGCAGAGGTGCTTAAAAGGTTAACTTGTACCAAGCAGGTTCCTCCCCGCCCTGGGAAGTTTCTAGGCTGGGCCGAAGCTGGGTGCCAGCAGGGCCCGGGGCCAGGACTGCTCTAGTTCACGCAGGCTTAGGAGAGGGAAGAGAGGTCACAGAACCTGCTGGTAACCCGCTGTGCTATATCCTCTCTGCCCCCCTCTCCTTCCCCAATTCCTACCGTTCGCTTCTCTTTTCAGGAAACATCTTTAACCAGCAGCCAAGCTACTACAATGACCTGGATGAGAGCATGCCCACCATCCTTCAGGTACCAGCTCTCAGCCCTGCCCAGGGGAGGACGAGCTTGGGAAGCAGACCCCCTCCCCACCTGGTGGTGACCTTGACCTTGCTGAGCCTGGGAGAAAGGGTTACTTCCCACACCTCTCCCCTCCCCAGAAGGTCTCCCTGTCCTGCTTCTCACACACACTTCAGTTCGCTCTTTCCCCTCTTGAACAGGATTGAGCTCTGAGGGCCGTCAAGTGCTGCCCTCGTACAGAGAGGCTTGGATTGCGTGTTGTGTTTGCTGACAGCCATAAGCCTCCAAGAACCCCGCCAGAGAGCTGGGTTTCTCAAATAAGGGCAATAACGTTTTATAAAATCATTCAATGAAATAATAATGCTCATTATAAAACATGGGGAAATATAAAAAAACAAAAAGAGAAGATTAATATTCCTCTATGATTCCATCCCATCACCAAGAGAATTCACTGTTCATGGTAACTTTTTGAATACATTTGGCCTCTATATCCATGGGTTCTGCATCTGGGGATTCAATCAACCATGGATCGAAAGTGTATTTTTCTAAATGTTACATTGCTGCTGATGTGTACTAACAGTTAGGCCTCTGATGGTGTGTCTGTGCTGAAAATGTACAGACTTCTTGTCGTTCCTTAAACCATACAGTATAACCACTATTTATATAGCATTTACAGTGGATTAGGCATTATAAGTAATCTAGAGATGACTTAAAGTATACAGGATGATGGGTGTAGGTTATATGCAAATACGCCACTTTATATAAGGGACTTGAACATCTGTGAGTTTTGGTATCGGCGGGTGTCCTAGAGCCAGTTCCCAGAGGACTCCGGGGGACACTAGCGTGCTTACAGATGGCACGGTCAGCTGAAAGTTTACATGATTCTACCATCAGCGCTGTGTCCCCTCACTGTTGATTTGTCTTATATATCAGTATAGTTTCCATAAAAGCCATCTACAGGGGATCAAAAAAAACATTGTATGTTACTGAATAGATATCTTCAATATTATCGTGCACTTGCCCAGCCTCTCCAGTCGGATAACATCTGCATGATTCTGGGGGCTCTACATACATTTTATCTTTTTAATCCTCACCGTAATCCTGTGAAGAGAATACCCCCCTCATCTCTACTTCACAGTGTCCACTCTGTCCCTGCTCTCTGGGCAGGTCATTGCCTCAGCTGGTGTCCTGGGAGCCCTGGCTTAGGTTTCAGATCACCCACCCCTGGGCAGGCAGGGGTCCGAGCTGCTGGTCCGAGCTGGTGGGAGCGTCACTCTGTGTCTCACAGGTCTTCAGCAATATCCTCCAGCACAGCGGCTTGCAGCGAGACGGGGCCAGCTCCACACCCCAGAAGCTTGAAGAGCGGGGCCGGTTGACCCCCAGTGACATGCCTCTCCCGGTGAGGTTCCCTGCTCGCGGTCCCTTTCTCCCAGTCCCATAAGCAGCTGTTCCTGTCGCGTTAAGAGCACTTCGGCAGGCTCCCATTCTCCTCTGGAAGCTTCATTTAGAGAGTAGTGGGGCGAACAGGGAGCTAGAATTCAGGGGGCAGGAGTTCAGTGCAGTTCAACAGGTTCATTCGTGTGCTGTTGTTGAGCTGTTCATTCATTCGGTGACTTCGTACTGCGGTCCCCCTGGCATGTGCCAGGCCCTGTGCTGGGCCTTGGGAGTAAGGCGGGCGCAGAAGCAGACATGTCGCCTGCTCCCATGGAACTTGGAGTCGCCTTGGAGATGACAGGCAAGGTAAATGTGAGCATCAGAGACAG